GGCAGGGTTATACTGTTTCATATAAAATTCATAATAAGAAAACCTTTACGATATGTATTTTTATGAATCTCCAGGACAGGCTTCTCAGTGTGTGTCTCAAACAACTGCTAATTACATGTTTATCTGAAAAAATAGTATGACTTCTTAATTTGGGGCAATAACAAATATATTACATGTTTTCTTTATATATTTACCAGAAATGCCATAAGGGTCATAAGGATAAAAAAATACTGGTTTGGGTGAAGAGTAGGAAAACAATCAGTTATCAAGATAATATTTAAAAGGTCTTAATATTAACCATAAAGAAAATTAGATCTTTCTTTAAAAGTTTTCATATAACAGTTTAAAAATGTGAATATTCTTTTACTGAAATAGAGCAATTCCCAATATCTAACTTTGTGCGTGTCAGTGTTTAATTGAAAAACATTAAAAAACAAATACGAAGGATGAAAAGGTATTATTTATCATAATAAATTGTATATTCATGACCTAGATCTAGTAATCTAGTTTTTTTGGGACAATATCAGACTTAATCTACAATTATATCCTTATCTTGCCTTGCTAGATACTGATTTCCTTACACGCTGCCAAATCTTCTTTTCCAGTCTTTGTCTTCTCTGTACCATACCATTCATCCTGGTTTAGAGGTACTACATCACTTTCCTGCCACTTCTGTGGTGTTCTGGGTTTCTAGTTACAAACATTCTGAGATCCTCATTGCTTTGGTGGAATTGATGTAGGTCTGAGAGAGTAGGAAACAAGCTGCAATGAAATGATGTTACTGGGAAGTCCCAGTTCTAACCAACCAATTTACATCACAGACCATATTTTCAACTGTTGCTGGTGAGAAATATGATTACTTAGATTATTATAAAATATCACTGCTGGTCTATTAAACTCGCTTTCACTTGGCATGGTAATGATTACTCCACAGAACAATAAAGGTTTACAGATTTTCAACTTTCAGGATTGTATTATTATCTCATTCAAGACCTCCATTCCTGTCTTCATTATGGAGTATGAATCATCATTAAGGTATATGATACTGAGAAAATCACATCAAAATACTTTTAGGATTTTGCTAAAACATATTTTCATAACTTATTTAAAAATCTGAAGGGAAATGTATTTTCTTTTGTTTCTTTCCATGTGACTTTTAAAACTCATGCTAATTTTGAGTTCCTACATTTATAAGGTTGAAAGTGCTTTGTATAAAATTTATCCTTCACACTTAAAGATTTTGTAGTTTGGCAATTTTATAGCCATGCGATAGATTACTACAGAAGGATCACATTGTCCATTTGTTTGCCTGTCTGTTTTTATCTGAAAGCAAAGACAAGTGAAGACAAGAATTTTGTGTACATTTTAGTGGTATTTGCTAAGAAACAATATTCATATTCTATGACTGTGAATATGGGAATAAACCAGAGCTTTGTCTGAAGTACTTGCTGGATGCTGAAGCTTTCCACTAACCAGGACTTCTTAATGACATGCTCTTCTGAGCATTAAGTAATCAAGGGCATCTCTTGGCTCCCTTCTACTGGGTCCTGATGTGCTGCTCCCAAGAATGCCCTGGCTGCCATTTTCACCTGGTGAGGTGCCAGGGGAAGGACCAGCTGCTCATATTTAGACTTTTGCAGCTATGACTCCCGTATCCAATTCTGGCTCCTCTCCTGTATTTCCTGTACCCTCAGGGAGAAGGATGCGGAGTATGTGTGCCCTGCTCCAGCCTTCCATCAGACACCACCCTTGGCTCATACCCTTCTTGGTGCCATCTGCTTGGAGACATAGAGGATAATAAAAGAGCTCCTATTTATTGAGTGCCTGCTGTGAACTAAGTATTTACATCTCTAATTTCAAATTTTCACATGATCCTAGAAGGATGTTATCAGACCCATTTTTATAGATCTGGAAAGGAACACTTGGAAAAGTTAAAAAAGCTCTCCCAAGTAATCTGATGCCATGATTATATTTGGGCCTTTCCTCTTCTCCACTAGTGGGAGAGACTCTCTTTCCTTGGAGAAATCTGTGAGCACTGTGTCTGATTGACTCTTCACTCTCCATAGCAGCCTTCCCTAAGGAGCTGATCTCCTGCTCTCATCCCAGGCTGCTGTCCTGAGTTTCTCACAGTGATTTGGCCCTCTCATTGAATTTTCTGGCTTCTTGTCTCTTAGACTCAACTGATATCTTAAAATATCCGATTAGTACTTGATAGTGTTGGCAGGTTGAAATCATATTTCTTAAAGGAAAGTATATTTCAACTCAACTTTCTGAATTCTCTCGTTGGGAGAACATATTTTTTCCCATGTTAATCGGAAAAACTGGACAAAGAAATGACCACCTGTTAGCTGCTAATGATGTTCACATGCCTTTTAAAAAAAGTAATTCTGGCTTTATCTGCTTACAATCTTGGCGACAAAACTCGTGGGAACATCAAGGGCACAGGAAGCCAAAGGCAGCAAACAGACAATACAGTTTGTGCTTGGACTACTAATAAGGAAGAAGTTAATGTGAATGTGAGTCCACATAATTATTTAATCTGCAGACAGTGACTTAAAACAAAATATGCGTTTTAAGAAAACTACACTTTGGGTGTTCAAATGTAAGGCCTAATTCAGAAGGGCTTCACACATGGGTGTTCCTACTAAAAAAAAAGAACAAACAAGTTTTTAAAAGTCATATACAAAATATACTAACAATGACCCAAACCCATGGTCTAATTTATTATGTTGTGGATAGGTCAATCACTATGCTTTTCAAGTGGAAAGGAATACACCCACAAGATCAGTTGTAACTTTGTTTAAAAAATAATTAACCATGTTCCACCTTGAAAGAAGTCTTACAACTCCACATAACCAAGGAGACACAGACAAGAAATTTTTTTGAAAATTAAGATTATCATCAAAGACTAACTGGACTATTTATTTGAATAGTAAAATTAATCTGAAAGTGCTGGCATCTTGATTTAAGTTATCTGACTTGTATAGGTTTTATTTGCACTTTTTAGCAAATGTCCACCTAAGTTCAAGTTTGAAACAGATTAACTTTTATCTATTAACTTCCTTAACTACAGTATACAGTTATAAGAGTAGGTTATAAAAGCAGATTTCTTGAGTTTGACATGTGTCACTTAACTGTTTTACACATTACTATCATTCTAGATGTCTTGGCTACCACATTTAAAATGTAGGGTTAAAATGGTGATAGTGTCTTTGGATTGATGAGTCGGTATAAGATAAGTATTTGGAACAGCATCAGGGGTATAGTTTATACAAACTACTGTCTTATATTAGTCTTGTTTTAATTTAAAAGCCATTGTACAATAAGTAGGTTTTCACTTGTCTGAATACCTGCCTCGACCCTTATTTTTAGACCCTCAGGGAGGGTCTCATAATAAATAAATGATTGCTTTTCCCAATGAGTGAAAATGCAGAGGAAGATTGACTATTCTTTCCATAGAATTTTTTCCTAAGAAGCATTCTAAAACTTTTAATGTAATTACTGTTCAATACAGGGTATGTCAGCCTCAGTTTCTCAAGCATGCTGTTACAATTTCTTCCCCACTGCTTCAGGGTTTTGAAACAAGTCAAGTTCTCTTCCACAGCCATAATTAAATCTCAGGTTTCATATCCTCTAATCACTGCATCACAAACCCTTGCATGTTTACAACAAAATATTTACATAATTAACATTAAACGTATACTCACAACTGAATGCTCACGCTGTAATCTTATCTTATACTTTATCCCATGTGAAATGAAAGGGAAAAACTCAAGAGTGAAAGGAAAACATGATTGAAATGAAATTAACTCTAAATAAAATCTTTTCTACACCAGTATCCCATGTACTTTGTAGACAGGCAGTGATAACCATCTTCAACTGTAGCATTACACAAATATGGCTGAAGCAGTCTCATGTCTTTGTAGAAAACTTTGACATAGGCTTTCCAACAATGCCTTATTTTCTAAAAGGATCTCTACTCAACTTCTCCTGTAACTTGGAGAACTGTGGATCCTAATAATTAATTCAACTTTGAAAGGCATGTTGTCATACATACATACACATACTTTACTATTGACATGTGTATGTAAAAACAAATATAATCATTTATCACACATTTTTTACTTACACTACATGTATTGAAAGTTCTTTACCACACTGACTTGTTCTTAAGTTTCAAAATCTAAGATCTAACTATATATACCTTTAGACAGAAAAAATGGCTAAAAATATCTAGATAGAAGCTCCAAGAAAAATGCTCTAATTTTTAAGACCGAGAAACTGTTTTTTCTGATATGAAAAAAAAATATGTGTGTGTGTTTTCAGAAGTCTAGCACTTGTTTTACTCCATGTGATACATGTAACATGTTTTAATAATCTCTTTTTGTTGAGGAAGAAGCAGTATGACTAAAAAAAAAATAAAGTTTTGAAAAGCATAATGTAAGTGGTATAAGTTGTTCTCACTCCAAATTCAATTGTTTTGGAAGTGGAACTTCCAAATGTATGTAACTTCAACAACCAACTCATTCAGATGTTACATTTCCTGTCAACTCTGGGATATACATTTTAAATCTTCCTGGTGTTCTGGAAGTGTGCATAGATGCATAGGTTGTTGGCTTAGTTGGGCCAACTGTGGTATTTATTCACTTGTGTCTTTTAATGTATGAAAATCAAATGGTCTGCATGCCAGATGCTTGACATTTCCCACTCTCAAAATCAATCACCAATCTGAACTCCATGGCCATTACTCAGAGATTCAGAGGTTTGCTGTAAGCAGAGACCATGACCTAGGAACAATTATTTTCTCAAAAGACATTACCAGCAATGATGTGAACAAAATGCCCAGACTGCCCTCCAGCGCATGAATCCCTAGGTAGGAAATGGCTACAGACCTTGCGAAGTAGTCTGACTTTGGCTTAAATCTCATTTTAATACATTCATATTTCATAATCCCTGCATTTAGACAGAGGTAAAAGGAGCAAGTCAAACAAAACACTCACTGAAAGACTTCCTGTGCTCGGGTTTCTGTTCTTTGCTGTCACTGTGGCAGTGACTCAGCAGTTCAGTACTGGAGGACCTCTGGAAAGTGAAGAACTCCAGGGATGAAGGGCCAATTGGATTCTTTGGCTAGAAATAATAAACAGTACCTTTAATACTTTTACTAGGAAGAAAGGATTCACCAAACATTCCTTGTTTTATCTTGATGCTGAATTTAACTGGCCTTTGAAATAAGTTGATTATTTTGTGATATGGTCTCTATGCTAAACACAATGCTTACACAGAATAGTACATCCAAATGGTGCTTACTAGATGCTATGAATTATTTAAATAAGTACACATATATCAACTCAGTTAACCCTCTCTGGCATCTTGCAGGGTCCACATTTAGCAACCTTATTAGTAATGAGGAAACAGACAGAAAGAATGAACTGACCTTTCCTAAACCATGCAGCTAGTAAATAGGATCTGTGTTCAAATTCAGATTTTTCCTGGACCTACCCTGCATATTTAAAGTTAATATCTGTGTGTGTACTGTATTTATATGGGGACTCTTGATGGTATAGAAAGACTATTTCATCTAAAGTTTGCCCTTAAAAGGATATAATGAGAGATTTATATAAATTATCCTATTTTACAGGATATTAAAAGTTCTCAAAATATTTTCCATACAATTTTATAAATATTAATGAGGTAGAATTAAGTCAATAGGAAACAGTTTAAAATAATTTGAGACTCTACAGCACAAAATCTAGATGTGTTATTTAAGCCAATTTTCTGAAGTTCTAGGTATCTAACATTCAAGAGAAGAACACCATAGTTTAGCTAGAGAATAATAAAAGTGTACAAATGGCTTTTATTTTTGATATTATAACAGTAATTATGCCCATAAAGACATAGACATTTACTTTCCAGAATATATACAAGAGACTACATAAATGGAAAATGTAAAAATGCAGTAGTTTTGAAGCATATGTGTGCTTTTTTACAACATCTAGCAAATTAATATCCATGCCTATTCTAGAAAAAGAACACTGCATTTTTGAAGGAGACAAATTAAATGACAGTTACCTCACAAATCCTGTCTGCAAGAAAGGTTCCCAGTGTTCTTTATTAAGCTTAAAATAGCTAATATCTTTCAGCTGTAGGACCCATTTAGATGTGTGAATGTTATATGCCTCAACAGTAAGATTTCAAAGACTACATTTTAATTAATAAATGTAACAGCCCAAACAGATACATACCAATCTGTCAATTGCATTTTTGATAGCATGGAACCAGTCCAATATGATGAAATCAATATCTGACTGGAGAAGGAATTCATTTCCTGTTACTGTTGTGATCTGAGAGGAAAAGTTGACAGGTAAGAGTACCATGTTAGTTAGGTTTCTTACATGAAAAAGTCCTTTTCAAGAACAAGTTTATCACAAGGGCATATTTCCTTATATTCCAGTAATTGTCTTTGTGGGAACTAAGGGGACTACTGTCATTTTGAACCTCTATCTGTAAACTATTCTCTTCATGTCATAACAAATACATGATTGTTTTAGTAATGGAAAGATTAACTCAGAGTAGGGCTAAAGCTGAGTTCCTCTGACTTCAGGAGAAAGAAGACAGGAAGTTGAGAGGTGCAGACATTACACACATAAGCTAAAAGCCAACAAAAATGCACTGTGTGTATGTCAGAAGTCACTCTGTGTTGTTGGCTCTTCTCTGTCTGTCTTTTTCAAATCTAATAGTATCTCTCTATTTGATTTCCTTTTATGGAGGGCTCTAAAACAGATTATTTACCAAAGAGACTAATGCTGACTTTTGCAAAAGGCCAGTCAGATGAATAACTATTGGCTGGTCCTGCCTTCCTATAGTAAAGCTCTATAGGAAAGCCATAAAGTACCCCTTTTCTCACAGAGCAAGTATATTGGAATAAAGTTTCATTTGCATATTTGGACCTTTTCTGGAAAGTATCAAATCACGTCAGTTTCCAAACTCTCAGTGCTGTTAAGTAGTTGGCAATGTTTAACCTAGCTATCCATTTTTCATCACAGTGGATCTTTTCCCTTCAGAAAGGAGAGAGGATATGATCCTATAGAAACACAGCAAGCAATACCCTTGCTTTCACACATAAAGGGCTCCTTAGGGGGAAATTTGATAGAGTGGGTGTGGACATGCTTTTTGTATGAGGCATCGATTGGAACTGTGAAGATTTTCCCTTTGTATTATTGACTTTTTTTTTATAGCAAGAGGACAGAGATTTCTCAATGACTGTCACAGATCAAGGCAGGCTACCGAACTTAGAGGAATGGGGTTTCAAGAAACTCAGTCAGGAGCCAGTTACCTCTTCTCAGTCCTGCTTGCTCTAATGGGGTAAAAGTGGCACAGGCTGGAACCAGAAATCACACTTCAGGCTGGCTTTCACGTTCTACCAGTAAAGTGACAAGGTTAACCCCAAATAGCTCATTCTGCAGGTTTCAATATTTTTGTTTGTTTGTTTTGCGAGACAGGGTTTCTCTGTATTGTTTTGGAGGCTGTCCTGGAACTCCCTCTGTAGACCAGGCTGGCCTCGAACTCACAGAGATCTGCCTGCCTCTGCCTCCTGAGTGTTGGGATTAAAGGCATGGGCCACCAACGCTGGGCTTGTTTCAATAATTTTTAACGCAACATTTAACAATTATCTTGGAATTTTTTCAAGGTGTAAATAGAACATAGTTTCAATTAATGTGGACAAGTATAGTTACTGTTTGAATATTTAATACAATACATGGTGTGTTGGCTTTTTGGTCTAAAGATTCTGACACTATTGAATCAGTCAAAATGGCAAATGACTTATAGCACAATATATATTAATATTTATCAATCTGTCTATTGATACATCATGTATCATTTAAGTGCCTATGTACAAATGAATCTACATATTTAACTGTCCTTGACTGTCACTTATGGAGACTAGCAATTGTCATCAGAACTGCATGTGTGAAGATAGGCATTATCCTTCTGCTGAGATACACTCAGATCATTGGACAGTAAAGTTTCTACAGTTATACTGACTCATTTAAATCAATATTGTAACATGAAATATATATGAGATGAGTATGTTTTGGATGTTACAAATGTTTAACACAGTAAATGGCCCATATTCTCTAGACTTACTATCAATGCTGTATGAACTCACATAAACTGACATTTTGTTCCAGAAATATCTGAGATTAATCTTGGGATTTTAAAAGAAATCTTTGTCTTCACACATGTGAATATATGTATTTCTTATTTATTTTCAGAAGCCTCTAGAGAGATGTGGTACTACTGAGGACTGCCAAGTACACATTCTTAGGTGACATGAGTTCCAGTGTCAATTCTGGTTCCTTCTTCAGTAAAGAGAGAAGTGGCCAAATTATAAAAAGGAAAAAATTGGAAAGTAATAGGATTAATTACACACCCTAAAACCTGACAGATTACTGGAACCAATTACTCTTTCTCTCTCTCTCTCTCTTTTGAAGTAAAATGGCATGTAAAATTTGGGACTGTTCAAAATAGCCATGTGTCCATGAAAAGAAAGCCAGGCTGATATTTTTCTAATTATCTGATTGTCATTGTAATGTTCCTTACTTACATAAAATCCCAAATATTTACTTTGTAAAGTATTGCCTCAGAAGCTAAAATCTAAAAACATAAGGTCATTTATAACTAACACAAGAATGCAAGTAGTATCCTCAACTTTTACCTTCATTCTAAATGCAAATATTTTGATTACTAATGTTTTATACATATCACATTTGTTATTATACATAGAGAAAAATGAGTTTCCCAAGCACAAATGTAGCATAATGTAATACTTTATACCAGCATAAATAAAATATTATTAAAATTATAAAGGAAACATTTAAAAAATACATAATTAGATTTACTATATCCTGAATGTTAACAAAAGAGCCAGCATAGTTCAGTTTTTGCCGTAGTAAATTCAAACTGTGGCAAATAGATTTCAGCACTGCCTTTGCCATTTTGATGCTAGAGGAACAGTTCAGAATGGGCCTTTTTCTGCTCGCATAGCCAAACACAAGCTGCACTTTAAAAGTTTCTTTGTCTAGATATATTACAGCATTAATCATACATAATCAGTGACTTATAGATTCTCTCTGGGAAGCAGGAATAAGGAGATCTGTGAATGCAGCTCGTTTGAATCACCCTATCAGAGGTATCATGCTCATATCTTCCTCTCTGTCTTCCCAGTAATCTTGGAGTTCTTAGGCAGTGTGGAGAAGACTGCTACTGCTCTCTACAGTTTAAATGCATCCACTTCTTAATTACAGTCAGTAATTGACTTTGTTCTGCTCCATTCCAGACTCACACAGAAATGCACTTTTCAAATCTCTGACGGGTAAAGTCCACTTAATTCAGCTTTTCAAACCACTTTTTTTTTGCATTCTTGCCTCTTCAGAATTTCTGATAAGTGGATTGTGAATCATATTTGCACTTTGGTGGCAGTGGAGGACATTGGTAAAGAATGTTAGCTTTTACTAAACCTTTTGATTCAATGGTGCATGATAACAATTTACAGTGGTGTACAATGGTGGGCAGAAGGCATCTACTGTTAACACATGCTGATGTGACCCTTCCTCATGTGCTATCTGGTAGATACAGGCTTAAGGGAGTGAAGGCAAGACTTACAGCAGACAGTACAGGTTTTTGTGAAAGCCTTCCTTCTGCTTAGAACCCCACCTTAGTCAAATAGCTAATGAAATCCTGCATCTTTCTCAGGCTACATTTTTGAAGTACTTGTATAGCAAGTCAGAAAAGCAGCTTTTGCTAAGTTCACTAGCATTATTGATGACAAATATGTTTAAACACTTGTCTAGAGAAATGTACCTCAATATTTCTTTGGGGGGGCAGAGTGTTCAAACAGCATTTATTGGTTACAACAGTAAACCATGAGCCTGAAAGAAACCACCACTCTCATTTGAATGCCTTAGACAGTTTTACTCCAAGTGTGGGTCCATCTCAGTTCTTGTTAGCAATGAATTTTTGTCAAAAAAATATATAAGCAGTCCACTGACCAACAGGTAGAGTAGGCATTCCTGGGGCTTTTTTGAAATTCATTTGACAATAGTTTTTCGTGGGCATGGGACTTCAGTCTGTATCTTTGGTTTCCTCCAAAGACAGACGTTATTTTGTAAATTCCATACTCCACTGATAGGAGATGTGGTGGAACAATTTTTTAAGTGAATTGAATACTGTATGTTAACTGAGATCAACCTCAAAGAATAGTGTTCTATTTTAAAGAGATTACATTTATTTTCATAATTGTTGTCCTTTCTGATGCTTTCAAGTATTATTTTCTGCAGCAAGGCAGTATTAGGTTTTAATAGGTATGGAAAATAAGTATGTATAGCAACATTTATAGTAATATATATTCTTAAAGTTTTATTTATTAGCATATAAATAAACTTTTAAAATCTTCACTTTTCTGATTATCAGATATAAATTTATTGCGGAGAATGTGATAATTAAAATAAAGAATATAATTGAAACTGCTCATGGCTACACAGATTAAATATTGCATACTTTTGAATTGAGCCATGATCCGTGTTTTGTAAATAACAACTGAGTAAATATTACAATTATCAATGGGTACATTGATGTGCCAGCAACCACAGTTAATGGTAAGTATTAATGACTTATTTTTCAGTTGAACTGAAACATGCATAGCATGGTTAGTGAAGATACAGGGGTGTCATTGTCTCCTTTAGCTCTGAAGTACCAATTTTCTAATTGTACAGTACATGCTATGGATAAACCCATGTCCATGATATGTTTACATGAGAGGGCATGTTTATAATTGATTACACATATAATTATCAACAAGGACTGATAAATTAATTATTCTTTAAGTACAGGGAGCAGTGAGTGAAGTTAGTGATATATGACCCTCATTCTTAACTGGAAACCTTGCCTACATAGGTTGTACACATATAAAGATAAATAACCATAGAAAATGACTTATCCTAGACCCCAATATGAATGGCACAGACCATGTTTATGACAAGGAGGGAGTAACTATTGTGGCTACACTTACATCTTGGAATTATGTATAACTGTTGGCAATGATAGGTTATTTTATAAGGTTGATTGTATCAGAACTTTACGGTATTGAGGACATGAATACTGTCACTTAATATGCAAAGTGAAGTGAGATTTAGTGTTCTCAAAGCACTTAAACATCTCCAGTGAAGCTTCTCTACATTATAAAGTAATTTTGCAAATGAAGTAAATGAGGAAAATGAAGACGACATTCTATCAAATTGGCATCATTTTAACTGATAGAATTAAGAGATTGCAAAAACCTTGA